GAACGGGAAACAAACAGATGAATGCAAGCAGACAGATGGTTCTGTCACAGGTGGCGATCGCAGTAAACTCTTGCTTCAAAGGGAACTGTTCTGGATTAGAACTTTGAATATTGTCCATCCAAATTGCCTAAACAAAAATAGTATCAGTGTTTCTGTAATGGGTGTACCTACTCTCTTGTGTGGGAGTAGTCCGTTCCATTATTGAGGCATTTACAGTATGGAGAGATGTCCCGACCTGGGGGTCAGACATCCTTTTCATTTTATGTTTATGCCCATCTTTTTATTGATCTTGTCATGAGTTGAAAGTCACAATTATAGTAAAATACAAGAGATGACTATACTTTCCATTAGAGGCACTGGTTACTGTATGAGACTGCTTACCTCTGTTGTAGGCTTATCTGCCTTTCCAGAATGAGCCTTCACATGGATGCTAACTCACATCTTGTAACTATAGTGACATGTATTAGAGTTGCAACAGTATTGGACACTGTGCCTCCGGGCGGGCATCCATCTTTAGCCGGTGTATATAGGACGGCTGTTTGGGTCTAAGTCCTTGTATCCTTTCATGGCATTTGGGTGCCCAGCATTGAGCAAGACTCTTTGGTTGTGGGGCATTGCTTCCTCATTGGGTTTGTTCATTTAACCGCATAGACTGTGTTGCCTAGCACCATATGTAGGGCTAGTTTGGTGCCACCCTGGGGGATAGCACCATTAGCTACTTTTCATTTGTTTGCAGGCTGCACAGCCCTAGAATTCATGTTTTGAAATGTCATAATGCAATTTTTCTGCTTCTTGTTGTTACTTGGTGGGGCTATGACTGGTGTTGGACTCCACAGCTATTTGTGAGTCATTATATGCAATGTTTGGCAATATCCATCTTATCTGGTCCTCATCTAGTACATGACCTATGTATTGCCATCACTTTTTGACTGAGGAATTATCTTTTTTTTGGAACCCACATATTTTATGCAACATTTTTACTTTGTTTGAGATCCATGTTTACTACTGGTGTCGGACTCTGGGGTGAAGTTCTTCTATTTTCTTGTTTATATTCAATGTCACATTATTCTAAATATTACTAATTTGGAGCCCATGGGATACATTCCCTATATTTAGGTGTCAACTGTAGCTTTAAATTATCTATATTGCTAGCCTTTTGGA